AGATATTAAAAGATTTTTCATTTTATAAAATAAAATATGAACAAGTGGTCCTTCATCTTGAAATATTGTCAAGTATTTCTCAAACAAGGGAGCTAAACCAATAAGGAATTTGATGGACACAAGTAACTCCTAAAATAATCAATTCTCTATTATATGTAATAATTCAAAAAAAAATAAGAAGAAGAATAATTTTAAATAGATTTTCAGTTTCCCTAAGACTTCTTTGAATTCGAATATAACGCTTATTGTTTGTCAGTGTCTTTTTATACTCCTTTTGTTTTGGAATATATTCCAAAAAATATTTCTCGGTGTCTTCCCACCTTAATAGAACCTTTATAAGTGAAGAAGAAAGAGTGAGCCATCTAGTATTGACAAAACGAAGAAACAATGTTTCATCTTCAATAAAAATGCAATCTGATAATTTTTTAAAATCTTTTATTTTACAGGGTGCATTCTAAAACAGAAAAAAATTATAGAGACACTACACTTTATTAGCTAGTCGTATAATAGACTATTAGAATAAAAAATAATAATAATGTAAGAAAAATAACTTCATAGGTAAAATAAAAAATTCTCTTTTAGTATTAACTGCAGTAAAATCCCGTTAAGTTAGACTCTCACAGGGAATAGATAAATAGTCTGACTTAGCGAATGTCCAAATAAGCTAAGCTTTTTGTATGTACAGAAAGCTTAAAGGGAATTGAAAATCTGTCCGACTTAGTACAAATCCAACTTATCCAGGGTCTGAATTAATGGGATTCTACTGTATAAAATTACACAAATCATTACCTTGAACCAGTTATGTAAATCAAATGCAAGCTGCTCAGCATCCTCACCGACAACATTAATTGCTTTTCGAAAAGCATTATGCACTGTGTGCAAAGTGCAACTTACAAATGGTAACAAGCCATTAAAACCATTACTATGAAGATCAGCATTTAACAATCTCCAAATGGCATTGTTAATATTAGGACCATCTGCTGAAATATTAAAAAGACGATCCCATGGTAAATAAAACCTTTCATTATGACGTAAATCTGCTAGCATTGTTTTGACATCTTCTGCTGTTGCTCTGTCAAAGAACAGCGATGTTAAATATTTTGTAACAACTTGGTTTTCATCTTCTGACCAAAAACGACATAAAAGATCCATTTGTTTTCTTTGTTGTGAAGTAGTTGTTTCATCAAACATTAAAGTGAATGCATCTTGACTTAACGCGATACTATTACATAAACGCTTTTCCAACAATGGCCCAAGGCCATCTTGCAAAATATATGAAGATTTTGCCGACTCATAGTAAAACATTGACTTATTTTACTATCTGGAAACATTCTTTGGAACAATATTGGTGTGTTGTCACAATGTCTTAAGGCAAGATCATTATCTGCCACTTTAAAAAGCCACATGGCTTCTGCAGCAGAAATTTTTTCCTTTATAGAAAACTCTAATTGTATAACGTTTTCTCCCCCAATCGAGTTTTTGTTAGAATCTACATATAAATGACGAGCAGTTTTTGAAAATCTTAGATCAGACACTGACTTATGTTTAGGTTTTGAAGAATGCTGATATAGTGCTTGGAAACCAACTGAACTGAATTTTAAATCACTTTTGCATAGTTTACAGATAGCATATTCAGAGTTTCTTTTTTCAGCCCATAATTAGATTTTCACTAGATTTTTATCTTACTTTTCCAACCACACATCATTCCACTTAACCATTATACTATATAATCTATTGATAAATATACTAACAACTAAATATAAAAATCACTAACTTTACTAGTTCTATACTATAGAATGATTTATTTTTTAAAATAATAACACCAATTTAGCAATACAAATGGATAATTAAAATTAAAATGTGAACATAAAAGATTGTAACTGTTATTATAAAATAGTTTTGAAAATTAAATAAAAAACTAAGTAACATGTCTAAAACAACTTAAAAATATCAAAAACAGCAATTCTAAGCATTTAAAAAAAACTTTAAAGTGTAAAAAATTCAAGAAAAAAATGAAAAAATGACAAAAACTAACAAAAAAATGAAAAAAAATAAAGAAAAAAAAAAGAACCCAAAAAAAATGAAAAAAATGAAAAAAATGACAACTTGACAGCCTGTTCTAACCACTTTAAGTTTAAACTATTCAGCATTTTTAATTTAAGTTTGATTTTAAAGGAATGTAATTTAAATTTTAAAGAAATATCATAACTTATGTTATAAAGGTTATGAACATAAATTATGTTAACAAATATCTGCTTGTTTACTGATGAAATCTATCTATAAACTAATAATCTTAATTATGAGCAATTTATAAATTATTTTTTTATTAATTTTTACCAATGTAAAGATGTAAGCTTTGTTGACTCATACAACCCACAACTTTTTAAGTCTTCTATCAACCATTTTCGTGCTCTTTGACACTATTCTTTGTTTTCTAGCAAATTCTAACTGAATAATGGTTACTTGTTTTGTTTGGAGTAAATAAGATTTTAAATTGATA